TTTTGAAAAATCACTGGCAAGGCCTCGTGAAGAAGAGCATTACAAGACAAAAGGATGTCCCAGAAAGAAACAGAAGAGAGTAATTAGACAAATGGAAATTGCAGACTTAACCCATAACTTTGAACTCAATTATTTAAAGGGAAAGGCAGAGAGGGTGGGATTCAAGCGAAATTTTTTGAAAAGTAATTGAGAAAGAAGATGAAGGTGTAGGGTCACTGCTCAAATTTAACCCACATCTCCAAATATTCTCCTCTGCTGTATTTAAAAATTGAAAAAAAATATTTAGCAGAAAAGACAGATGAGGGAAAAAGTAAGAAGAACACTATCTCAAAGTAGGACATAAGATTAGATTATGACAAAGTAGGACATAAGATTAGATTATGAGGAAGGAAAGAGAGAAGGTTGCCCACTTCCAGAAACATTCTTAACCCAAAAATACAGATGTTGAGTTATTTTAAAACTCAATTAGTATTTTTTTTTACCCAAAAATAGCTATTGATGCTTAAATATAGCAACTTACATTCAAATATAGATTATAACGCATTGTTCTCAAAAAATCTCATTGGTTATGAATTCGAAAGGGAAAAAAAAATATCTATACTATTTTGAAGTCATAAATCTTACACATTGTAGCAACTTAAGAATGACTCCAGGAGTGGGTAGGGCTAAAACTAATTCATGATTACACATTGGATATATCAATAAAACCCCTTAAAATGCCAAAAAGGACATATGAAAGAAAAAGTAAGAAGAACACTATCTTAAAGTTAGAGAAAAAGATTGTGTTTTTATCTCCAAACCTATCTATAGGAAACCAATAGAAAAAGCTGAGGGAGGAAATAAAAAAGCTATCTTTAAGCCCCACTCCCTTCTCTTTTCTCTCTAATGGGCATCTTCTACTCAAATAAAAATGTATTTCAAAAGCCAAATCTCGTGAATAAATTTACCCTTTTTGCAAACAGAGCAAAAGATAAAGATAAAGATTCCTCCTTTATATCAGAATATACGTCACTCTGAGAGATAATCAGAAATGTGTTTCCGTCAAATTTCCATTAAAAGATTACGCATCTCTCCTCTGACACAATATAAGAGCTTTCAATGGCCAAAAATTAGAAAAAATTGAAAAGGGGTTCACTTACTTGAGCTTCTCTGCTCCTTTTCAACGAAGAAGGGTTTGTTTCTTGAAGAGAGATTTTGAAAATGGGAAGAAATATTAACAACAATAATAATGAAATTATTTGTGTGGAGAGCTTTTAAATTTTGCTTTATATGGACACAGGCAGCGGAACGTTACCCGATCTTCAAATAGTAAAAGGCCAAATTTAAGGTTTCTCTAATGCCAACACGTGCCAGTCAAATCACAATTCAGTACACGTACGGAAATACCCTTGAGATCAAGCATTATTTACGGACAAAGGACTCAGGAGGGTGCTATTATGAGGGATTTTTTAGTAAATTAGGAGGTGGAAACAAGTCGTCGGCTGATGTCATGGAGTTTAAAAATGGGGGTGCGTGTATCGTGCGCAACTAGCGGCAGATGACGATCTAGATTTCGATGGCCTTTTCAAAATTGAGGGGCTTTTTACAAAATTTGAAATGGTGAGATTTTTATATTGATCCCTAACATCTTCTTTATTTTGAAATCAGTCTCCAGGTCATTTAAATTACTGTTTAGCCACAAGTAAGATATGTTATTAGTATATTTGTTGAGGTGTGTTTTGCAAACACTCAAAACCTTTTCCAAACATTAAAAAAACACCACATTATTAGGTTAGAATCAATTCTAGACTGATTATAAGGAGTTGCGAAACACAGCTCAAGTTAAGTTTTCGATTAATCAAACTCCGCATATTATCACTTTATTAAAATTTGTTGATTCCTCCCTAAATCACAAATTTATATAAGTTTTCCTGATATACCCTTAAAATCTATCTTATCTGAAGTTTACTTTCCAAATATTGAAATTGAATTTATTCCTTGATTTTTTTTAATATTGAGTTTAAATTTCAATCTCATTTAACACATTCATATAGAGAAAAAAAATGAAATGAAATGACAAACTATCATTTATCTCCTTAATTAAAAAAGCCTAAAGGATTTTTCTTATATACTCCTAAAAGCTATCAACAAATTTACTTCTAAATTCGTATATTCACTGACATATCTCGAAGATTTTAAAAAGTGTAAAATGTGACTAACACATTCATATAGAGAAAAAAAATGAAATGAAATGACAAACTATCATTTATCTCCTTAATTAAAAAAGCCTAAAGGATTTTTCTTATATACTCCTAAAAGCTATCAACAAATTTACTTCTAAATTCGTATATTCACTGACATATCTCGAAGATTTTAAAAAGTGTAAAATGTGAC